GACTGCCTTCGGCTCAGGTCATGATCCTGGGGTCCCAGGATCGAGTCCCGCATTGGGCTCCTTGCTCAGCGGGGAGTCTGCTTCTCCCTCTGACCCTCCCTATGCTCTCTCAATCTCATTCTCTCTCTCAAATAAATAAATAAAATCTTTAAAAAAAAAATGTATTGGCTCTAATCACATTTTAAGAAGTCTTGCTGATATTATCAACATAAAATTGCTTTCCAACTAAAAAAGAACTTAGAGGGCACCTGTGTGGCTCAATTGGTTGAGCGTTGGACTCCTGGTTTCGACTCAGGTCATGATCTCATGGGTCTTGGGATTGAGCCCCTGCCCCTCCCCGCCCCGCCCACTCTGTCATGCTTGGGCTCCGTGGAGAGTCTGCTTGAAAGATTCTCTCCTTCTGCCCCTCCTCCCACTAGCTCTCTCTCTAAAATACATAAATCAATCTTAAAAAAAGAAAACAGAACCTTAATGGTAACCCTATCATACTAAGAAAACATAAAATCAAATCATGAGCTACTGTTTTTTAACTCTCAGGCTAGCAAAAATTTAAAAGACAATCTCCAATGTTAGGAAAGAGGAAATTTCATATACTGTTTATGGGAGTATAAACTGGCATAATCTTTTTTGGATGATAGTATGGCTCTATCTATTAATTTAAAATGTGTACACTCCTTCATCCAGCAATTCTGCTTTCAGAAATCTGTCCTACTAGTGTACCTCTGACAAGAATGAAAGGATGTATATATAAGGAAACCGTTTAAATGTCCCCCAGTCTGACTAAAAATATTACAAATCCGAACTATGGAATTATGAAGCCATGAGAAAGAATGAGGTTGATTTATAAATGAACAATATGGAAAGATGTCCATAATAAATGGGGAAAAAGTGACCAGCAGGTCAGGGTGTGCATATATATGCTCGAAGCATATTAAAAAAATACATGTATGTGCATAGAAAAATATGAGAAAGGTTACATATCAAATTTCAAACTGAATGATTACTTGGGGGAGTATTAAATGGGTAAGGGATGGTTAGAGAGAGAGGATTTTACTTTTTAAAGAAATTCTATGTTGGGCGCCTGGGTGGCTCAGTTGGTTAAGCGACTGCCTTCGGCTCAGGTCATGATCCTGGAGTCCCTGGATCGAGTCCCGCATCGGGCTCC